CACTCCAGAAGATGAAGGTACATTAAATCTAAATAGGAACCCTGTAGGATAGAGTCAGAGAATTACATTACTTTGCCACATTTTTTGACAACTACTATTTTAACAAACTAAATAATTATTTATATTGTATTTTTTCACCTTTTTTTAACAAAGAACCTAAAACCATGCTACAGCAGCATGTCAGCATGCTTACAACAATGACGAGTGAGTATTATGTTCAACAAGTATCATGTTTAACACGTCCTGCTAATTAAGCAGGTTTACATCATATGAAGCAAAGTATTTGACAAATTAAAACTTTGACCTGATCATGGTACTTGATGTAAAATCAGTTACAACATGTATGTCTGTACCAAATTAAATGGTAATCCATACAACAGATGTTGAGACATTTCACTTAAAACCATAAATGTCAACTTCATAGTGGTGCTAAAGTTACTGAAGTCATTAGGATTCATCCTCTGGGGAACATGAATGTCTGTGTAAAATTTCATGACAATCTATCCAGTAGTAGCTGAGATATTTCAGTCTGTCTCTAGCGTGGCGTGGTTCTATCCAGAATTAAGGGTCTGAGGATGGAGGGTGTTAATTTACGAAGCCCTCTAAGATACATTTGTGGTATTGGTCTATATAAATTAGACCGATATGACTTGACTCCATACAGGAACGTTTCCACTATTAATTTCCCCAAAGAGTATGTCACTAAAACACACTTTCACACTGCAGGGAATGTGCCCAATATTACATCACCAATGCTAGATACCAAAACTCTTCCCAAAAGTTTTGAGACTAACAAGTGGTTTCAGGACAAATAGCAAAGGCTGATTGTGGTAATGCTCCAATATCAGATTTGATTAAGCAGCAGATGTTACCTTTATTGCAAGTCATTACTGCTGTCATACTTATTAGCATACAAATGGCTTCCAGGCCTATAGAGACCTAAAAGTTATTGCATGTGTAATTGAACCTGATCTCTACCCTGTGGCTGAGATGTTCCAACACACACACAATGCCATGCACACAAAGTTGTGAACATATTGTCCGCACTCACGAACCCACCTACACACAGACACGCACGCACACGCACGCACGCGCACACGCACGCACACACACACACGTGCTTTTTCTCTATTCTTCTTATTTAGTCACTGTCCTTTTTGTAATATATAAATACAAACAGTAGAAGAGAAAGAAGAAAAATAGGCGAGAGGAATATGATGATAATCACAACACCTATTATGATGCTGCTGAGTCATTGATCAACACATTCATCTCTTGTAGACTTTCTGACACAGTTTGGATTGTGAATAAAACAATGAAAACTGTCATTTTATCCTTAAATCCACTATTACACAGATTAATTTAGAATATAAATGTGAATGCAGACAATCAATATTTTATTTTTCTGTATCACTTTCCACCCAAAGATGTCTCTGCATTATTTTTATTACCATTAAGGAACAGAATATTAGTCTTTTAAAGAACAATTGACTCTGAACTATAACTGGGTCATGGGAGCTTTTTGTTGTTGCCACTCTAAATTTATGTGACAGGTCATTATGACTGGAGCACTTCAAAGGAAATTATTGCTGGGAACAGGAGCAAACTTTCCAATGGAGTCAACCTTTTATTATAGCATGTTATAATGACATTCAGAATGAGGCAATACGATCTTCAAATGATTTTTCTGTCTGTCTGCCAGTTGGTTGGTCCACCAGTTTGGTCAAGACTATAATATCTCGACAACTGTTGAATGGATTGCCATCCCATACCATTATAGTACATACATTCATGGTCCCCAGATGATGAATCCTACTGACTCTGTTGATCCTCTTCCTGTAATGACACCAGCAGGACAACATTTGTCCAATACTTTGGCTTATGACCAAATACCTTCAAAACTAATGGTGGCCTCAGCTGTACTTTTTGTTAAGCGCTAATTAGCAACTGGTAGCATGCTAACAGGCTAACCTAAGACATGGTAAACATTATAGTTTACTTATACTATATCAACTATAATCACCTTATGAGAATCTATTCATTTGGAACAACTCTCATGCCATTGATGACAGGCAGTGTCAAATCAGTATCCTACTTAGTCTTTTTGACTCAACAAGGCAAAACAAAAACTGGAATGGGGGGAAAACAGACTAATAGACTAGACTAGACAGTCTTACTAGAAATAGACTGGCTCTTTCTAAAAGGTAACAAAATGTACCTACCAACACCTCTAATTCTCACTGATTAACACCTTGTATCTAGTTAGTTAAACTGAGGTACTGAAATGACAGGCTGCGCTTATAAGAAGATGATACTGTAAGTGTTGGACTAAGCTAATCAGCTAAGGTAACCTAATCGGCTGCTGGCTGCAGCTTCATATTAAATGCACAGACAGGAGAGTGGTATGGTCGTCTCATGTAACTCTCAGCAAGAAAGTGAATAAGCTAAATTTAAAAATCTCCTTAATAAAAACTAGTTTAAAAAATACAAGCTACTAGACTGTGACATGAGAAAATATCCATCTATGACTTGTTCCCACTGGAGGAGAAGTTGCCAGCTGTACAGTATATCAAGTAGCTCCACACTTAAATCGTTGAGGGTGATCCTACTGGTCCTCTCTGCATCAAGACACTGACACTTCCATTTGTTACATGAACCCTTCATTTCGCTGTTCATCCTGTTACACTCAGATGTGATTTGTGCATTTCAGTGTCACACAGACGGATGAGGCTCTTCACCAAGGCTGTCAGTCTTAGTCAGGAGGGGACATTAAATTACCACATCCAAGGCTGTGCTCTACATGAAAGAGGCACACACATACATAGCATTTGCACGCCAACAAATGGCTGTGTGTATGTGTGTGCGTAGTCCTGCATATGTCTGCGTGGCTGTTGTGTAACCCCACATTTCATGTTTTGATGTGAATATGTGAGTGGAATTTTTAAATAGCAAATCTGCATTGCATTACTGTTATTGACAAAAAGCAAATTAATGACCTTAAAATGTACTCAGAAGGAAATAATAAATCTCCATTTGGCTGTTTAGTTTCTTGGCTGACTGACTCGCTGGCTGGCTGGGAAAACTATGCTGACCTGGGTGCATCCAAATTAGATATTGGCATGGTTGCGTGTATTACACAGTGGGAGTGCTGCTCTGGCTCAGTCACCCTGCTGCTCTAAATCTGGCCAGTGCTCAGCTCAGCAAACACAATGCAACAGCAGGGAGACAGCATCTCCACATTTTCATTAAGCTGCAGATAATAGCTTGACAAAAGCAGAAACCCACAGATGTTTTTTTATGTTTTTTTTCCCTGGAATCCAATTGTCTGCATTTTTGTTGATTTGTCCTTACTCTGTCATCACGTTGGTTTTGAAATAAGGCATCCAAATAAGCCTACTGGAAGTGCAATTTTAAATTTCTGACTGTAAAGTGAGGGACTGTCACAATTCCACATGGATAGAGCACTTTAAAGAGCTTGAATTAAAATTCAGTGACATATAAACAGTACACATCTGATCGTTGTAGTGGCAAAAACTCAGGAACATCCATCTACTCAGATCAGTCAACGGCAGCACCCCCCTCCTAAATTAGTTAAAGGGATGAAAGAGAGAAGAGGTGGAAAGAATGCCAAAGAGCAGCAAAGGGGATGATAGAGAGTAAGAAGGCAGGAGTGAGGTGGGTGAGACAGAAAGTGGAGACAAAGAGAAAGGGAGGAGGTAGAGAATGAGGAGGTGGCCATCATATCCCTCCCTGTCTTTGATCAGTGGTCCATGGGGAACTGAGGCAGTGCAGATAGCTGGTCCACAGCTCCTGAGGAACGCAGCTTCACATTCCTCCTTGCTCTTTCCCCGCTTCTGCAAAATCACTTCTAGTCTTTCAGACCCCAGCAGCTGTGAAAACACATCATGGCTTACTACATGCCAGAAAAGACCTGGCTAATTCACTGCAGTGCCATTGTCCTACTGGTCCTCACTCACTGGTGCAATTCCTCTCAGGGCAAACTCTATTCTAGTCTCCCCTAATGTTTTTCTGTTATATTCTATTTCTATTTGGGTAGAAAATGATTAATTTCTCATGTTGCGTAACCCTAGGGTCAGAGGTCATGTTTGGCTACAGGGCTGCACTGGTATGACTCAGGGATCCAAATGTTTTGCTTAAGGGCACTTCAGCAGGACAAATGCATGCTGGTGAAGAAGCACCTAAGTCTCTCGGCTGACAAATCACTTGTTAATACTAAACCCAAATTCCCTTTGAAGCATGGTCTCAGTCAACCAGCCCTCTGCCTGCAGAGTGTATAGTGACCGTACAGTGAAAGGCAGTGCCGCAACTGTATTTAAACGTACACAAACATAAACAACAAAAATTGGAATATATAGTAGAATGAGGTAGATTTGTACATCTTGCAGCATTATGCACAACGCTTTTATCTGCCTAAATGTAAATGATATGGATGTTTTTGATTGTTATCGCCATAGACCCTAAATTTTGTAATATAAACCAACCTTCTTGTCTAGTTATTTACTTTGGAACCAATTGTTTTTAAACCAAAATGCAGGAGAAGTACTAAAAACAAACACACTTTTTTATTTATTTAGTTTTTTACAATTTACATGACAACTGGAAAAGCTCTATGTGCTAATAAAGGTCTTGTGATATGATCAAAAGCTCCAGAACAGCTATTAAACAGACCTTGAGATCAGATTGAGAATCATTTCACTGTAATGCAGCAGGTATGTTACACTTTAAAAGCCGACTCCTGGTGGTTCCTCACTCAACTATCATTGGACTGCCAACAAAACCTGCCATCAAGAACATTTCACTACATGAACCACAACTCTCAGCTCATATGTCTCTGTGGTAAATCAGTGCACTAAGTGTAATACCTCCTCCCCCGGTTCTCTCCTCCCTGGATGTGAATGCGTGCACTGGAAGCCCCGCCCGTCTCGGATGTGACGCGAGCCAATGGTAACGCACCGTGGACGTCACTTCGTCATCAGCAGTCGTTGTGGTGGCACTGCCGTGCTGCTCTGCTCGGCTCTCGGTCTCCACGGTACCTCTTGTTTTCATGTGTGTGAGTGTGTGAGAGTGTGTGTGTGAGAGAGAGACACACCACTTGAACACTTTACACGACAGGAGGAATTTACGGAGACATTAGGCTGTCGGTTTTGTGGGAAGAGCGCAGGATAAGTTCAGAAGAAGAGCCGTGTTTTAACGGGAGAGAGGCTGTGTCTGTCTGTACTTCCAACCAGCGGTAAAGCTACTTTGATACAACCACTTAGCTAACAAGCTAACTGGGAATGTTTTCAGAAACTAGCCAGGTTGTTAGCCTGCTAGCTAGCTAAACCGGACGGAGAAATCCCCTGAGTACATTTAACAAGCAGATATAATGATACTATCTTTAGATACAGCAAGGCAACGAATTGCGGCGACGTCTGAAGCCGGGTATGTTGAATGTTTAGGGCTCTTGTGTCCGCTTAGTCGCTAATTTCCAGCAGGGACAATAGTTGACTGTCCAGGCAACAAGTCTAGCTCACACTGCTGTTAAAACGTTGCTCAAGTTTGTGCTAAATTAAATTAATGTCCTGCATTGTTGTTGTTAGTAACCGCCCGGTTCTAGTTAGCTAAACATGAAGACTCTGTCGTAAAAAAATGGGCGTTTTGGATAAAGTAAATGTAGTGTTATACAAAGGAAAGTGCGGTTTAACATTATAGAGTGGATAGGCTCACTCTGTTGTATAAGAGGAACTGATGTCACTTAGTCGATACAACTATTGACGAGGAGACGAGGTGGATGAACATTATAAATCGCCCACATGCTTTGGATCAGTTCCCGGACTTGTGAAAGGCATCTGAAGCAGAAGGTGGGAGACGTGAGCGCACAACCCTTGCAGCCCGGGGGAAGATGGCGGAGCGTTGCCGTAAGAGGTGGTGAAGCCAAAACTTGGGGACTTCTTGGATTTATCGCCAGATATCTGATCCCAGATCATAGGACACATGCAGGCCAAAAAACGGTACTTAACCCTCTTCTCCGCCGGTGCGTGTGTCATCCTGTTGTTTTGTTTTGGGGGGATACAAGTCCCGTTATCCAGACGGGGTCCCAGCCGGCGTGATGACCGCAGCCTCACCGGGGCGCGGTGGCGTCGCTTCCCGGGGTCCCTGCAGCCTTTCAACTCCTGGGAGCAAGACGGGAGCGATGATCAGAATGAACACATATCTCCTAGGGAGAAGAGGGACGCCAACTCAGGCGTGTACACCGCGAAGCGCTGCAGAATGGAGTCCTGCTTTGATTTCTCCCTGTGTGAGAGGAAGGGCTTTAAAGTGTATGTGTACCCCCAGCAGAAAGGGGAGAAGATGTCAGAGAGTTATCAGAACATCTTGTCCTCCATCGAAGGGTCCAGGTTCTACACACCCGACCCGGGACAGGCATGCCTGTTTGTCCTGAGTTTGGACACTCTGGACCGGGACCAGCTTTCACCCCAGTACGTGCACAACTTGAAAGCAAAAGTCCAGAGCCTTCCTCTGTGGAATGGGGGCAAAAACCACATCATCTTCAATTTATACTCTGGCACCTGGCCAGACTACACAGAAGACCTCGGCTTCGACATTGGCCTTGCAATGTTGGCCAAGGCCAGCATCAGCACCGAGAACTTCAGGCCCAACTTTGACGTTTCCATCCCTCTTTTCTCTAAAGACCACCCCAGGACAGGAGGGGAAAGGGGCTACTTGAAACATAACACCATTCCCCCTTATAGGAAGTACATGCTTGTTTTCAAGGGGAAGAGGTACCTAACTGGAATAGGTTCAGACACTAGGAACGCTTTATATCATGTTCACAACTCAGAGGACGTGGTCCTCCTCACCACCTGTAAGCATGGGAAAGACTGGCAGAAGCACAAGGATGCACGCTGTGACAAAGACAATGCAGAATATGACAAGTAAGTACTATCCAGTTGTTAACTTTACATCAAGAGCGTGTCTCAGTCCCTTTCAATCCACACCATTCAGTTGCTCTATGCGTCTGTTTTCTTGCGCTCTCCCACAGGGATGTAACGATGCATCGTGACACGATTAAAAATCGGTACAAATGTGTGACGATTCGCACCGGTTGACAGAACAAATGAATCAGCGGATCGACGCGAGAAGTAATATTTCGTTTTTTTTTTTCTTTTAGAACTAGGTTACGTGTATTAAGAAAAGTCACTGGTTGGTGATTTCATTTGTTCAACGGCAGACGTAAGTACGTGACTTATGTCACTGACGTAGTACGGGGCAAGAACGAGGGAAGACATGGAAACAGTAGTAGTAACAACTTTGAATAGAGTAGCACCGGCGGTTTTAATCACGGGTGTGCGGCTTTGGTTTCCCCATATACACAAATACAACGGTTGAGAAATGACAGAACAAAACAAAAAAGCATGTAAATATTGGCAGAAGACTGCTACATATACCGGCAACACGAGCAAACATGCAGCAGATATTAGCCAGCCACCACAGTGAGAAGCAAGTAACGTTACGCACCAATCCTGAGCGACAAGTTGGCGAGGGGCAACACCCTGAGAGACCTTTGCATCTCTCCTCCCCAATAACAACGCAAGAGCGTTTGTTGTTTAAGAGCCATTAAGTTCCTTTTATAAGAGGACCAAACTTTTTCTGTAAAGAAAGCAACCTCTAGGATATGTTTTTCCTACGAAAAGATCATGTTTATTTGGTCATAATTTGTCTGTAGCTCATTTTTGATTAAAAAAAAAAAAACGTGAGAAAATCGTGAACTGATGGAATCGTGAGTTGAGTGTATCGTTACATCCCTACTCTCCCACGATGGCTCTACGTTATGTTTATGTTTATGGTTCGGCTCACACCATCTATTTCTAATACTGGTGAGGTAAGTGTGAAGTGTCATGAACGTTGACAGAACAACTGTTTCCTCTTCGGATTGAACCTGATATTCTCAAGGTGGGCTCTGTAACCGTGGGAATCTGTAGTCAGTTCACAGTGGTATGTTCAGATGGAGGGGCTCTGAACAGGTCTGTGTTATGAAGACACCCATTTATTACACTGGTGAATATTTTTCAGTTTTTGGATCATGTATTGTTGCCATGCTGTTTATTTTTCCTGCTCTCCTGTTTTTTGTTTAGAGCTGTATGACACATTACCTGTAAGTTAGGGATGGCAGAAATGAGGCAGTATGATGACAGTATTTCTAAATGCAATGGTTTGAGGCTTGTCTAGATCCCACTTTTCCTTGATTTAATTCATTTTTCATTTTGCACATCTGATCAACAGCAATTTTATTTAACGCTTTTATGGACAAGAATGATTTGCCGCTTTTAAATAGTCCTGATATCATATGACTTTATTTACCAAATTACACATCATGGGGCTCTCATAAGTAGATTTGCTTTAATGTCGGCCACAAGAGCCACTGATTTAATGCAATTCAGTTGATATCCCCATCTGTCTATACAGCCTCCTATTCAGCAGTGGATGAATCTGCTTCTCTTGCTCTTTACATTTCCACATTTATGCCTGTCAATGTATCATGAGTCCTGATCTTTTCTGACAGATATTGTCAATACAATACAAGAATGCACACATTCAGTTACTAGTTCTCATGATGCACACAGATAACAAGTGCAAGTCAATGGGAAAATTTGCCTGCAGAGGCCATGAGTTCGACTCCAACCTGTGGCCCTCTGCTGCGTGTATTGACAGTATATATAATGGACAGCATCCGGGTCGGTAAAGTAAAGCCAACGCAGAAGTGTCTTAAAACCTGCATTCTATGTAAAGGCCAGCAGGGGGAGCTCCGTTGGCTGCAATTTAAAAAACTGTATGGTCCAATTTAGAGTAAAATAAAATATAAAGTGGCATATGCTTTTGGCCGTGGCTATCTTATGATAGACAGGTCACTGTCAGTGAGTCTGTCCAGCGCAACGCACACTGTTTCAGGAACACATTTTAGTGTACTGTTCAGCTGTAATACGAGTTTGTGTGTGGGGGAGCTCTTGCTACGGACGAGTTGAAACTGCACGGCCACTGAGCACAGCTCAACTTGCAGTACGTCACCCTTCTGGCCAAAACACCAAACAAGTCCTCCACCAACCAACCACTGACGTCATGATAGGCTCACACTTGTCTGCGTGTCATCCCCTCTCTCTCTCTCTCTCTCCCTTCCTGTCACTCTTTGGCTGTCACTATTGATTAAATGCAATTTCAAAAAATAAATAAATAAAAGTATACAAAGCTTAGTAATTCTCTCTCTGTCCCCATCCCAGCAGAAGGCAATATTGCACCTCAAAAAGTTGCTCTGTGATTATCGCTCAGTCCTACAGTTAAGCCTCACTGTTTTCTGTGCCCAAATCTGATGAGCAAACTGGCGTCTGTCTCTCTGCTCTGGCCAGTGGGATTCATTTCGTGTCCCCCCAGACTGTGCTGTGTTGTTACTGGTGACTGTATGGCGCTGGGTGTTTGACTGTGGCTCTTTGGAGTGGATTAGTGGGGACAAAGCGCTGGTGCCAGTAAGGGGAAGCCACTCTGGCCCCTGTTTGCTCAGTCATTTCCCAGACAAACCCAACTGCATCAGCCAGGAATGCCCTGGCCCCAACCTGTGTCCTGCGTGACCCCTATGTTGTTTGGGACCTGCCGTGATTGACCCCCATGTCAACTCTTTACTTTGTTGTTAAGTTGTTACGTTTTGGATAACAGACAGTTTTATAGTACATTAAGGCTGCATCGTAGATTACAGTGAGAATGAAGTAAGATGTTTTCTTCCGGTCCTCAAATCGCAGACTGGTTCTTATCACGATGTCCAATATGTTTGCCTAGCACTGTTCCTCAGAGGATTCTCATGTTTGTGTCTACCTCTGCAGGTAGGTATCAGCTTATGAGGTTAATTCGTTGGCTGAGCAACATTCTCCATATCAATCATAAGATGGGAGCTATCTACTCTCTCTCTCTGCCCCGTTCTGCCAGCTCACTGTTTGCTGCCAGGCGCTGCCAGAGAGTGATTTCACACAGTGAGCTGGGTGGCATCAGAGCCATAACCCAAAAGAAAAATTAATCCTCCTGTCATTAAGTAGCATTGGGGGAGAAACAGGCTTTGCGTTCCTCTCCAGCTTAGCTTCATTGCATAGCTACAGTATGTTCAGTGATTCTCGGTCAGTACATCCTCAGTAAGCTACGTTGCTATCAGTCAACAGGCCTTGGCTTGATCCCCAGTACACTGCAAAATTCCTGTTAAATTAAATAAAGTTAATTTACTGATCCTGACTTTACCTTGTCCTTGTGCTGGTAGAGCTCAAATAATCTGTATCACTTAAACTAATATGGTTTCAAAAAGTTTTTGCACTTAAATAGTGAGGAGGATAAATGAAAGTTTCTAATAAAAAGCATGACTGTCTTCCTCTTAAGTCCATCTGTGACAGGGTTTCTAGTTTGACCACATGCTGCAGCATATGAACTTGCGTATATATATCTGTTCACTCCATAATCACATCTTACTCGCGTCATTATCCACAGCCAGAACACATCCTGACTTGTGTTGTAGATCTCAAGCTGAACATAATCTGGATACATTACTGTCCACATCTATTTGAGATCACATTTCCAAACTCTGTTAAAGTGTTCATAGTGAGGACTTGTGATCTGTTTATGTAATCATAACTCTGTCAATGGCATTGGCTCTTAGACTAGCTCGGATCATTTTGAAACAGTGGTTTTGCTGTTAATGGTGGATACTTGCTACGAAGTCAGAAAGCATCCCAAAGTTTTCATAGCTGACAAATTTACACAAAGCAGGCAAAGTGGATCTCCGAGTCAGTTATTCATTTTTTATGAAATGTTTGTTTGGACAGGATCTGGCAAAAATATCTTGCAGTGCACAGTGATTTTTACAGAACAGAGCTTGAGGCTATCTGAGCTCATCTGTTGCAGTTTACTGTTTTCTTAATGTGTGTGTGTGCAATAATAGCCCACTCTCACATTTGACCTACCCTGGACTTTGGTTTCATACCTATTGTGTTGTGACAGGCTGAAATGAATGCGACCTATCAAAACAACAAGATCTTAGGCATTGAATTCAGTGTTGGCATAGATCACCTGGCGTGATGCGGCAGGTCCGTAATAATCAGTGTAAATAATCCTCCAGAAAGTTTTTGACACTATGCATATTGTGGTTGCTTTAAAAGAAGTTCTAGTCACCAGTAGCCTACAATGGACCATGAAAATACTGTCATTACAACAAGGTTTTCATTGAGTCTGTTTGGAGTGCAAGTTGGGTTGGGTTGTGCCTTTTTAGAGGAGGGATCCAACTGGTTAACATTATGCCTGATGGGACCGATTCATCAGTCCCCAAAAGCTGAAGGTCTGTAATTGTACACAGACCTGCTCTATATCCTTGGTCTGGCACCCAGCAGTGCAGGGCTGTCCAAGGGGGTGAGACTCGGATGTACAAAAAATGTGGGTGGGACAGTAGTCAAGGAAGCCAGTTGCCTAGGAAATCAATATTTGTTTTCGGTTCAACTTTCCAAATGAAAAGTGTCTCTGATTTGCACCTTGCTGTAAACAACACACTGGTTAGAATACGCTGGGTTAAGCATGATATTTGACAGTTACAGGTGTACTACACTTATACTAATTCTACACATTATCATGTCACTTTCATAAAGTAATGATCAAAAAAACAGATTTGGCTCAAATGCCAATTTGCATTATCTGTGGGTAGCACTGAGTTCTCTACCCAGGTTGACGTGTATAATTTATGATTGGGTTGCACTGTCCTGTTACACACCCCTGTGGGTCAGACAGTACAGTCTGTGGTCTAACTGGGTGGAAGTAATAGTTTCTGTGCCTGGCTGTGGCCCTTTGTGCAACAAATCCCTCTTATCCTCTCCCACTGACAACAAGGAAGTTGTGACAGGCTGAATGCAGCCTCTCA